GTGTGGAGTACAGGTGTGTGGGTGTGCGGGAGCCACACCTGTGCAGTACAGGTGTGGGGGTGTGCGGGAGCCACACGTGTGCAGTACAGGTGTGGGGGTGTGCGGGAGCCACACGTGTGCAGTACAGGTGTGCAAGTATCTACCTGGCATCGCACAGGTGTGCTGTGATACCTGTTTTGTACAGAGCAGGTATGCATTCATCACACTGCCCAGTACTGCACAGATATTCAATGATAACTGCCAGTTAGTGTAAGCATAACTGCACCACACAGGAGTGGACCCCATCTAGAATGCGTTATCTAAGAGCACGTGCGTATGCGATTTCTTTTGTACGCAGGACTCCCGATCGTTGAGTCTTCCTTACAAACCGACAGACAAACTGAAGGATAGAGACCGGCAACTCATCAAAGATAAATTCACGGTACGTGGTTCGTAATCGATACGTATCGCAAACACCGTAACTCTATTGTGGCGAGATTGTATACCATGATGGACCTGTCAGGACCAGTTAGGTTTCTAGCAAAGAGTATGTTAATTACTCCTCTTGTTACTTCAGTTCTTTTCTTTTAGTTCTTGTTCCTTTCCTCCTCTCTCTCCTCACTCTTCCTCTCTCGTCTCACTCCTCAATCCTCACTCTTCCTCACTCCTCTCTCCTCTCTCTCCTCACTCCTCTCTCTCGTCACTCCTCTATCCTCCTCCTCTCTCTCCTCCTCACTCCTCTCTCTCTCCTCCTCTCTTATCCTCACTCCTCCTCGTCACTCCTCTATCATCCTCACTCCTCTCTCCTCCTCACTCCTCTCTCCTCCGCACTCCTCCTCTCTCTCTCCTCACTCCTCCTCTCTCTCTCCTCACTCCTCTCTCTCTCCCCACTCCTCCTCACTCCTCCTCTCTCTCTCCCCACTCCTCCTCTCTCGCTCCTCACTCCTCGCTCCTCTCTCTCCTCACTCCTCCTCTTCCTCACTCCTCTTCACATCTTTCTCCTCGTCTCTCGTAGGCGTTCAACAAGGAGATGGAGGAGATCGCTCGCGATCCCTCCTCCCTCGCTCCTCACTCCTCACTCCTCCTCTCTCTCTCCTCACTCCTCCTCCTCTTCCTCACTCCTCTTCACATCTTTCTCCTCGTCTCTCGCAGGCGTTCAACAAGGAGATGGAGGAGATCGCTCGCGCGCAGAAGGGTTTCGCGATTCCGGACCGGGAGTTGCGCGACAGCCTCCGTGCTGAGAACACCCAGCTCGTACTGCCACTCTACGAAACCTTCCTGCAGAGGTCAGTGCGGTCAGAGGTCAGAGGTCACTCCCCGTGTGCACAGACGTCGCCCGCTTCCATAGAAAAAACGTCGCCGATAGAATTACTAGAATTGTTAAAATTGTCTGCTTTAGTTATGTGGTGGCAAATCCTATTGAGCATTCATAGCATAATAGTTTTTAACCAAATTGGTAATTGTTTTCTCCTGCGATTTTGCGATTAAAATTGCGATCTAAATAGGATAATCACTAATAATATGTATATATATATATAACAAAGTTGTTTTAATTCACTCTTGATATACACACACACACACACACAACCTCATGTTGCTCACACGTGAACGTACGCGGCATTTGCCGACGAGCGGGTGTGTTGTTCACGTATCGCGAACCCTCCTTACAGATATTCACAGTACCAGTTCACGAAGAACAACGAGAAGTACATCAAGTACACGGCGGAGGATGTTCGCAAGGAGCTCGGCTCTTTCTTCGACATCGCCGCCTGAGGAGACGTGTCCGCGGCAGGCGAGCGACCTCGCGTCCTTCAAACGCCCTTCGCCGCGAAGCGAAAGACGTTTGCGCATCGGCGCGGCCGGTCGTCGTCAGAAATGTCTGCGACGTGTCGTAACATCACGACGTTTTCACGCGAGATGTTCTACAAAGGTTATGAAATCTTGGACTTGAGACGATCGTTATCATTCTTTCATATATATACCCCGAATTCGAGGTAGAAAACCGATCATTTTTTCGTACTTCCATCTAAGGAGTCGGCGGAAATTGACGGTGGCTTAATTGCTCTTGAAGATAGGTGCCTGAGGTATGGATGACTATACCCTTCACAATGCTGTTTGACCTTCATTCTATGACATGGCTCTATGGAGAAACAGAGCCGGCATTTACAGACGTTGCTAGCATATTATGTATCTCCCGGCAGACCAAACTTGCAAAAACTATTGATCTGTGTGTGCGCTGGTAGTGTGCTGATAAATTATAGCAATGGCTGCTATGAGCTGATCATTAATCCTATAGTATCAAGAGTGAATAAAGACAAAACTGTTTTTATTCACGCCTGATAGCATCAACTTGTAAATTCTATTCGTGATTGCAAACATATTAATTTACCTACTTTGAATCTATACGTTGTAATCATCGATGCATGTGTATATATACATATACGGCAACAGATTTTCATATATAAAAAAATAATTTATTACCCACATACATGGACATTGTTTTATATATGTTGTTCATCATATAGACAAATGGCCCGGTCCACAATATCATCAGGGGTTTTATTTGTTATCACTGTATTTAGACTAAATATCACATACAGTTGGTAATGATTTCATAATAACAACTGCTGAACACCATTGACTCACGATTTCATTAAATGGCATACCACTCCTTATATAATTAATATATATATATACAAACAGGGGGCGTTTCATTAAAAGTCAGTACACGACGAATACAGGCGCGCGCTTTGGCTTATATGTTGTGTATTTGTCCTGTAGCCTGTGCTTACTTAACATCAGGCCCCTATGCACCTCATCTCATCCTTCCCGACACTTTCTCTCATAAGCCTATAGTCATTCGGCTCTTAGCTTTCCAACCCAACTTTCAAAGTAATTGTAACGAGTAAAACCACCTTGTATGATAAAAACCTACTATGCTTGAATACAACAAAGAAGCGAGAAAAACTAAACTGAACTCCACTTGATAACATAGATCCATCAGCAGGCCTCGAGATTGTCACGTGAAGAATGGATTTTGCTTTCTTAATAACTGCTGTTATTAACTACTTAATAAATGCTTACTGAACTGCTGCCCCTATCTTCTCCCCACGTGTGCAGTCAGTGTATCTGCTAGACTGCTTTTGCAGACCACACCAATGACAAAACGCCCGTTAATAGTGTTGCCATTATATTACGATCTCACCTTACAACGAGCTCACTCTGCAAACAGTTTGAAATTATTTCGAAGAAAAGTCATGGTCGTTACTGTTTCAACGTGTGAAAACTGTCAATCAAGATGCGCCAGTATAGACATTAATACCGATACATGCCACGCGATCAAATGAACTGCATATGTGATAGTACGTCTGACTAAGCAGTGACAACACGATGCCATAATACTGCTTGATACACGAGTGAAGCGTTTCAGCGTAGCTTGCGAGGCATTGCCTAACCGTCAGGCGATCTAGCCCCGCGTGCCATTCATTTGAGCAAGTTTTCCGTCAGAAAGACGCCATATAATAACAACCAAGCGAGCTTTAGTATTCACACCAAGCGCCATAGCCACATAGCGACCGTTGCTGCAGCAGGGGGGGGGGGGACTGCACAGCCCCCAGCTACGTCAGCCGCAAGAAACGCAAAAACTGATGACGTCAGTGCAGACGACGTGGAACCACGCGGATGTCATCGAGACTCCACAGTAAACGACGTTGCCATAGGAAGCACGTTCGCGCAGATCTCAACGCTTCAAACACGATCGGTTCCTCCATTGAGCCACCTTCGGCACATCTCAACGCTTGAAACGCGCAAACGCTGCTTTTATTACGCCACCTTTCTGCGGTCATAACGCCGCAGCTTCGTGGTTTCGCGACGACGACCGTGACCTTGACTGTGACCGTGACCTTGGGTCTCCGTTGACCGCAAGCGCAGTGGCTTCGATCGCAGCAGTCCTCGTCTGCAGAGGAATTCTCCGACCCGCACCTCGCTCACGTTGGAACCCCTCCCCACCACCGCCTCGCCATCGCCGCGCGGGAGACTAGACGCGACCCTCGCTCCTACTCCCCGATCGCGTTACCGACAGGGGCGCTAACCCTCCTCGCGGACGCGTCCTGAAGAAGGACGTCCTCGCCCGTTCGCTTAGCGCCCCCTAGCGGCCGGTCTGCATCGTCAGAGCCGAGGCTGACGTATTCGGGCACGGCGGGAACGACGCGGGCAGCTTGACCGACGTCCTGCTTGCCGGGTAGCGCGAGGCTCTTCCTCGACTGCTGGACCCCGGCCCCCGCGGCAGCCGCGGCCGCGCCGTGGCGTGGGTCGGGTCGGGGCACGAATTTACGGTTAGCGTTCAACGCGGGTTTCTCCCGGGGCACGGCTTTACGATTCGCGTTCAGTGCTGGAAGGTTTTCGCGGACCACGAATTCAGTGTCGGCGTTGAGTGCGGGTTTGACGTTGACGTCGATGTTCTGTGCAGGAGCGTTGTTCTGCGGCGCAAAGTTTTGGTTGATGTTCGGCAGAGGGTGAAGGTTTCCTTCCTGCCGTTTTAAGGCTTGATTAGCATCTACTGGCACTGCTCCCTGCTGGATTGTCATCCCTCCTTGTGGAATATTCTGCTGTGGAACATTTTGCTGAGGAATATTCTGCTGTGGAACATTTTGCTGTGGAAGATTCTGCAGTGGAACATTTTGCTGTGGAATATTCTGCTGCAGAACGTTTTGGGGTGGAACATTTTGCTGTGGAACATTTTGCTGTGGAACATTTTGTAGTGGAAACATTTTGTAATGGAACATTTTGCCTTAGTGAACATTTGTGCTGGAACATTTTGCTGACTTGCGTGAACATTTCCTGCAGTGGAACATTCTGCTGTGGAATATTCTGCCAGTGGAACATTTTGCTGTGGAACATTTTGCAGTGGAACATTCTGCAGTGGAACATTTTGCTGTGGAACATTTTGCTGTGGAATATTCTGCAGTGGAACATTTTGCTGAGGAGCATTCTGCAGTGGAACATTTTGGAGTGGAACATTCTGCTGTAGAACATTCTGCAGTGGAACATTTTGCTGAGGAACATTCTGCAGTGGAACGTTTTGCTGTGGAACGTTTTGCATTGGAACATTCTGCTGTGGATCGTTTTGCAGTGGAACATTTTGCTGTGGAACATCCTGTTGTGGAACATTCTGCAGCAGAACATTTTGCTGAACAACGTTCTGCTGCAGTTCCAGCTTCGCTTGGTCTTCCTTGTCTTGGCTCTCCTTGTCGTCGTCCTCCTTGTGTTTCTTCAGCGCCTCTATGATCTGCTGTTGCTGAACGATCAGCTGCTGCTGCTGCTCCTGCTGCTGCTCCAGCTTCTCCAGCAACTTCTCCTGCTTCTCTTCTGCGACCTTCTGTTTCGCCTCCTCCTCCTCCTCCTTCTCAGCCTTCTCCTCCTCGTCAACCGGGATAAGCACCTCCTTTGCTGCCTCCTCCTCCTCCTGTTGCCACTTCTGCTGCTGCTTCTTCTTTCCGGCCTTCTCCTTGAATAACCTCAGTTTCTCCGCTCGCTTCTCCGAGTTTCCTTTCGCGACGACCTGTTCGTCTGCCTTCCCCGCGGCAATCTCCAGCGGCTCCTCTCTCCTTTCCTCGTCGTCGCCCGCATTGTTGCCGTCTCTGTCGCGACTCTCGCTGTCCTTCACCTAGAGTAAACATCATTCGTTGTGTTAATTGAGCATGACGGGGCATGGGGAATCGTGATCGGATGTGAGCCGACGAAAACTGAGACGGAAAGAGTTTCGACGGAGCTAACAGTAATCGTAATGGATATTGGAGGATCGGGGATGTCATATTTAGATTTGGGAAACCATGTACCAGGATAGAAGTAAATGTGGGTGGTTAGACAGATGAAAGAGATAGACAGAGGTGGGTTTAGTCATACGTAGGTCAATGAAGATGAACATAGGTGGATGTGGTGGGATTTCTACAAACAGACCTGGAATAGTAAGCATAGGTGGATGAAGGTGTATAAAGTAGGATAGAAATAAAATGGTGTGCGTGTGGGTTGACGTGGTTATATAGATAGGTGGGGTGGGGTGGGGGGTAGATGTGGGGATGCACGCCCAGACTCAAGAGTCTCACCTCGCTCTTCCCTTCCTGTTTTCTGGGAGGCTCGTCGGGTGCCTCCGGGATAGCCGGTTCCAACCTCTTCTCCCTCAGGCCCTCCTCTCCGGCTTCTCTCTCCACTTTCTTCTCTAGCAACTCTTTGTCTTCATCGTTGGCTTTCCCGTCTCCGTCGGGTTTGACGTCGCCACCTGCGGAACGAATAGTTTATTAACGATGCTGTTATAACAACGACGTTAATGCCATAGATTAACGTTATTTAACTTCTACGACGAATTTCAATGAGAGGGTGCACACAGGAAAAAAACATCGAGAAAGATTGAGAAAATACTTAAAATAAAAACAAATTGTAGAAAGAGTTTTTCACATTATTTCCCAAACAATTTCTTCTCTTTTTTACTCTGGATAGTACCAGAAAATGTAGCCAAGACTGGAAAAAAATAAAATCGAAAAACAACTTTTAACATTACCCTCCAACTTCTTCTTCTCCTTCTCAAGGATGTCCGCTAAGTATACGATGGTCGCCTGCACCGCTCTATTGTCGTCCACGACCATCGCGACGTCCGCTCGCGCCTCGACAGGCGGCGCCACCTCTGCGCTCTCCCGCGCCGAGTTCAGCGTGACGTAGGTGCTGGCGACGAAGATGGCGATGCCCATGACGAGTACAAACTGAAATGTACGAAGGAAACGAGAGGCGATGCTTGAGAATCTAGTAGCAACATCCAAACCTCCATGACGAATGAGTAGCAAGATGCACTTTACGCATGTATGTGCCCCCCACAACCACCACTCTCTACATACTCATATTACATCTACATGTAATCGTTTATAAAAGTAATAGTTATATATATAGTAGTATATATAGGTAGCAAGTATAAGAGTGTAGAGGCCACAGACAGTGCTCATTATGTGTGTGTGTGTGTGTGTGTGTGTGTGTATAACAGTGATGTATCATGTATGATAACAGGGCCTACATGGAAACCAGCATTGTTGTTGTTTTACAGCTACCCTGTTTTGATAAATAAAATATACTACTACTACTAGTGGCATCGAGTCTGACTCCCACCCCAACCCACCCCACCTCCACTCACTATTACACGCACACACACACACACACACATTACATCTCACATTACACCTATATTAGTACTTTATACATGAGACGAGGTGGTAGCGCGTATGCAGTGCACTTAATACTGCTGCCAGTGGCAGGTACGTAGGTACTTGTATAATATCAAGAGCTAACAAGCGCCGCAGAGCGACAGCGCTCAACTGACGTGTACTGTAGCCGGGTATTCTTCTGATAAACTCACTGGCAACCGAATCAAGTGCGCCCTCCCGCCACCGCGTTGATAGGCTTTGCTATACCGGTAGTACAGTAATAAAGCTATAGCTGTGTAGCTTTAATGACTTCGCTATATTAACATGTTATCATGGATATGCGTCGAGCGCGAGCGTATTGGTGGTATTAGGGGGGGGGGCCGTGTGGAGGGGGCTCTAATAGCAAAAGCAGTCCGTTGTTAACAGTCAACAAATCCATGTTTAACCCTCCTCTTGAGGGTCAAAAGGTTATCAGACACTTACTCTTCGCACCTCAGCGGAAAGTAGATTTCATGGTTCTTTCAATAAAGTGATAAAAATGGTAGGTCAGTGCTGAAACAAAAAAGTTTTGCACTCGGTCCGTTAGACCATGTCCTCAGAAAATGTCTGATATCTGACCTTTCCCCCACTGCCCTTTGACCTGTGACCTCCAATTTCGCGCTGGTGATGGGTTTCCTCCCCATCACACTATACATCGAATATTAAGAGTGTAGGTCGAGCTGTTGAGATTTGTGCCGCAATTCCGTATTTCCTCCTATGCCTTAAGTTAAGGGGGAAATATTACCCCTCCATTGACACATCTTGACCTTTGACCCTTGACCGCCAAATTCGACATCCCGAGTCCTTTTCACGATCCCCCCCGACGTCCCGAATATCAAGACCATACGTCGAGCGGTTAAGATTTGTGCCCAACTGTTGACGGACGGACACACGGACAATCATGCGATTCTACAAGCTGCTAAATACGGTATTCATACGGTATTATTTATACGGTATCTATCAGATCTTGATAATATACATACGCAATACATATGAAACTAGAGCACTCGGAGAGCACAGACCTCCTCCGCCAAGGCAGCTCAATTCTGTCACTGTGAAAATTTTTATTAATTAATTAATTAAATAATTAATTGGATCCGGATGACAACGAAAATGTAATCAATTCTAAGTTACCCGATTTCTGACGTATCCTGAAAATTGTATTAATTAATTAATTAATTAATTAATTGGATCCGGATCACCACCAAAATGTAATCAATTCTAAGTTACCCCATTTGTGACCTATCCTGAAAATGTTATTAATTAATTAATTAATTGGATCCGGATCAGCACCAATATCTCATCAATTCTAAGTTAGCCCATTTCTGACCTATCCTAAAAATTTTATGACAATCCGTTCATAACTTTTTCAGTTAGGCTGTACACAAACAAACCCATAAACCCACAAACACACAAACGAACAAACACACGCCGGTGAAAACATAACCTCCTGCTAACCCCTTGGCGGAGGTGATAATGCGTACACACCTACGCGCACACGCACACACGCAAAATGCTCACTCATGCACACACTCCACCTCTGTGCCCACGCACGCACGCACGCACCCACGCACGCACGCACGCACCCACGCACGTACGCACCCACGTACACGCGTGCGTCTATAGCTTTGTGTACATAAACGAGTGCGCATGCGTGCCGGCTGCACTGCTAAGCACCTTGCCGTAAAATTACATATTATTGCACCTTGCACCTGATAGCAAGCAGTAGGCACCAGTACAACCATGGAGGACAACAACAGGAACAACGCTGCGAACGGTAAGCAACCTTATTATGCGCTATATCACGTTAACACTGCCATATGTTCTGTTGAGCGACGTGCATGCATCTTCACTACAAATACAATAATACACACTAGCTCATCACACACATCAGGAATATACTCGTAATACTACTACATATAAACTGAACTATTTTCAATGAAATAATGTGAAGAATAATGCGCTGAAATAATGCGACGGTTTTTCATTTTCGTGAAGACGAGGTTTCCGCGAAATGCTCCAGATGTCGTAAAATGCCACGTGCCACTTCAACTGCGCGCGATGTGAGCCGTCGCTACGACAACCAAACACTCGCCCGACTACAAAACCACCGCTCTATTGGTTTTTCTTTTCCTTTCCAAGATTTTCCACCCCCCTATGACCAGACGTACCCTCAGAAGCAGCTGGGCGCCATTCCGCCGGGAGCACCCATTCCACCAGGGGGCCCTGCGCCACCAGGTGCTTACATGCAACCGGGTGCTTACGGCCAGCCCGATCCGCTGCAGGGATACGGTTACCCTGGCAACTATGGCACCGGACAGACGGTCTACACGACGACGGGTTATCCCGCACAGACAATGGTAAGCGATCGATTCGCGAGCGATCGAGCCCATATTATTAATCAATCAATTCGCGAGCGAGCCGACCTACATGTAACATATATATAATATATATATATATATATATATATTATATATATATGTAGTGACATATAGATTGATCTGTGATTATGTGAAGCTTTATCCCTTTCAGCAACCGGCGCCTGGTGTTATCATCGTTCAGCAGGACATACCCCCAACGTACATGATAATGTCCATCTTCTCCTGCCTATTCTGCTGCTGGGTAACAGGCCTCGTCGCCATCTTCTATTCCTCAAAGGTAAGCGCGCGCGCACGCTAAGACAAATACACGTGTAGACATCGCATCCTTACATTTCCTGACGTCAAACGTCGCCATCTTGTATTCCTCAAGGGTAAGCGCGCGCGCACGCTAAGACAAATACGTGTAGACATCGCATCCTTACATTTCCTGACGTTAAACGTCGCCATCTTGTATTCCTCAAGGTTAAGCGCTCGCGCACGCTAAGACAAATACACGTGTAGACATCGCATCCTTACACTTCCTGACGTTAAATGTGATGGTGTACATGACGCTTAATTATACATGCCACATCTTTTAGCACGCTACTACACTTTGACATCTTTTTCCTACATTGCTCCACACTTCATACTCCATACAGCCACCAACCTCCACCTACAATGCTATACACTTCATACTCCATACACCACACACTCCATACACCATACACTTCTCCACATCTTCTTAACACACACGTGACAGCGTAGGAGAAATAGCGACTTTGCCTATTCATCTCACACCGCGTGACAAAATAAGTCTCCAGTCGAAACTAAACGCATTTCTCGTGCGCCCAGAACGAAGCGCGCTCACGGCACCTTGCGTTCGTTACAGTTACCACCTACGCACTCCTAGGCAACTGGGAGCTAGCACAAGAAACGTCGAATAACGCAAAAATGTGGAAATATAGTCAGCATCACTGCCCGGAACGATCATATTCTCCACAACCCTGATAACGATTCTTGTCCTGCCTAACCAGGAGACATGCTCACCATGATAGCCTTATTGACCCCCAGCTGAACCAATCAAATCGAGGAAGGGAGAGAATTCCAATACGGACTGACAGAAACAAAAGAAGCTAAACTGAAAGCAGATCCTTCACAGTGGTTATCAAGAGTACAAAATAGAGATCTCTATTAATTCTAGAGGTCTATATCTATCGATTATAGAGATCTCTATTAGATCTAGAGGTCTATATCTATCGATTATAGAGATCTCTATTAGATCTAGAGGTCTATATCTATCGATTATAGCTATCTCTATTAGATCTAGAGGTCTGTATCTTTCGATTATAGAGATCCGTATTACAGTCTCTCAGTCGTTATCTAGCTGGCCTCGGTTTGATTACGGACCACTTGTTGTTTATTCACTCAGCCGGCAATAGAGATCCGGTTGAGAGATAACGTAGATAGAGTTGTGTCAGTTCCTTGTACGAGCTGAGCCCTTGCCCCACACTGAGAGAAACGACAAGCACCGAGAGGCAAGCTAAGCTACCGTCGACCAGGATCTACGACTGTTTCACGTCGTAGGAACGTGAAGTTACCTTCTCGCCACGTAGTGAGAAGCGAGAAGGTATAGCTTGCAAGCGGCTAAGCTACCGCATACAATGACTGAGGGATGATGAAGCAGACACAGATATTCTAGCAGTAACGCTGAGAGGGTCTATGTCCCCCAGGGTACTGCCGGAATGTACCCTAGGTATGGTCCGGTATACCGGAACGTACCCTGGTCACTATCTAATATGCCGGACCGTACCTCGCCTACTCCACTAACGAGTCTAGGGAGTCGCCTACGCCTACTCCCTAACCCTAACCCTAACCATATAAAATAGTGACCAGGGTATGTTCCAGTATACCAGACCGTACCAGAGTACGTTCCGGCAGTACCCTGGGGGACATAGACCCTATGAGCAGCAGGCACCCTTTCAAAATTCGGTGCATTCGGACGTTTTGTGTGCGATTTTAATATTTATACATCATTACTGATGTAATTCATGATAGATGGAGAGGGTAATCATATAGCGACATTATTGTAGGCATTTGGATTCTATAAATATAATAATATGTTAAGTATATTGTAAAATAAATGAGCTTGTGCGAACGTGGCTTTATAAGTGACCATCTCACGATCACTACGTAGATATTATTAGGAACAGTTATAGGAATCAAATTGAAATCCTGAATTCTGAACCAAATACGTGATTCGCACGAACAGATAGTTTTAACACCTTTGTTTTACATGGAGACTGAACGCATGGGCATTTTAGCACCTACACTGACAGAGATGTATGCTATTTCAATCTTGGTTTCTAGTTCTCCACCGAAGGGTAAAGGTTTGTTGATTCTATGACGAGTGTTGACTAGGTGTGTGTGCACATCCTTCTGTTGGTGGCCAGAACACACACTCAGGTTTTTACCACCACCTCTTATTTATCCTGAGCGAATACACAAGACTTCCTATATTTCCAATCGTCCTCTCGACGCATGATTTCGCAAGAACATATCCAAGAAATATTTACATACATATTTTAAGTGAAGAGTATATTCATCTAAATTTGAGAGTGCAAGCGTATTTAACGTGAATCACAGAAAACTGCAAAAATTTCATCAGTGGCATACTTAGTAGAGTATATTAATCATTTGTTATGAATCACAGGATTGTCGTAATTTAATTTTATCTATATTTTACAGTGTGGCAGTCCGCTGTTTTATAATCAGCCTTTGTAATGCGCACGTGAACATGTCTGCATGTAACGTGCGCAATATAAATCACTAAATATTATTATTATTATTATTATAATATTATTGTTATGAACATACGATGTGGCGGATATTTAAATTATATAAGCAACTGAAGGCAGCATAGTAATTTTTAATTGCCCTCGTAATTCTGTAGAAATTATGCAGAGGCTTTGGTATTGCTGGTTCCACAGGTGTTTTTATTGATTAAGCTATCTGATGTAGGTATTTGAAAACGTGATTACTTCTTTCTCATCAAATTTCTGCATATGATGCAATTTATTTCTACAGAGCTAGTTATTCTGATCGTATTACTATGAGTGATCACTAAAATGCAATTTTTTTCTATTGAATAAATTTACATAAGCAACTCAGTTGAGCATATTATTAAATTATTAGTTTCTTGTCACATATACAGGATGACTCCACGACTGAAACACCACTGACTCATAATATTTAACCACTGCTCCTAAAATTTAAAATAAGGATATTATACATGTTAAACAAATTTTTTTCGGCAATTTTGCAATTTCTATACAAGGCATTTGCAACCCTTTTTTAATGATTTTTACTAATGCATAACAGGAAAGAAATAGATGGAGCCCATGGACCTCTGTGAGTGCTAGCATTTGGAAGTTTACTTTTTTAGCACTGACTGTATCCTTACAATAATTTCTATATGTTTTCAATATGTTCAAATTATTTCCTATGTTTGTCCAGTGTTAATGCGTAGCACCTATTCAAAGTCCACTGAAGGGAAAGTGCATACAGGCAATTGAGCCTACAGGTATGAGAGAACCAGCTGGTGAGTGATGGAGAATTTTTTTATAAAAATAACAACTAGCTATTGACAACCATTGGAACATCAGAAAGCTATGCTACCAATGATGACACAGATCCAAACACATCGTAATGTTCACAGTACATGTGAGTGATCAAGTCTGCTGATGAGAAACGGAGTGTACACCACTACTATCATTGTATATTCATTTCATATTCCTGTATAGCTGGGACATTCGCAAATACCTGAGCCACTCACACATACCCGAGCCACTCACACATACCTGAGCCACTCACACATACCTGAGCCACTCACACATACCTGAGCCACTCACACACACCTGAGCCACTCACACATACCCGAGCCACTCACACATACCTGAGCCACTCACACACACCTGAGCCACTCACACACACCTGAGCCACTCACACATACCTGAGCCACTCACACATACCTGAGCCACTCACACACACATCTTAATCACATTTACATACCTGAGCCATAAATTTCTCACTCGTCTGCTTGGATATCAGCAGAATGAAGAGAAGGGCTGGAATGATGAGGTTGATTGCATTGCCCATGGTCGACCCAGTCAGCCCTAGAATCGTCTCAACTGCAAGCCAACGATACATTCGTAATCATTCAGTCATGTAGTGGATGGATAATAAGATTATAATAGAGTATATAACAGGGTTCATAGTAGTAAGACACATGTTGAAATAAGGACTTATAAGACCCTTTCTGGAGGCCAAAATAAGACTTTTTTACGCGATTTCTGATAGATCACCGACTATTAAAGTACACTAATAATATTTATATACACAATTGCACAGCCGTTTCGCCGAAATTCAACACAGAAAATGTTGAAAAATAGTCCTTTGGCAAAAAAAAGACTATTAAGTACTTTTCTAAGATTTGACCAAAAATAAGTACTAATAAGGGCCCTTATTTTATTTTTGTCAAAATAAGTACTTATAAGACTGGAAGACCCGCTACGAACCCTGTATAAGAGACATAAGTTCAGAACAATTACTTTTCCTACACACAGCTTTCATTACACGATCTAATTGCAATCACAACCATACGTGGAGAGGTTACTAGACTGCATAACCCACGTATCATTAGATTGATCTTTTACTCATTGATCGATTTTGATCGATTGATCATCCCCTTCTACCTCCACTACAAATGCCTGCTTATTCCACCGTGTACACCACTACCCACATTAGCAACCGTCACCATCAATGTACGTAAAGACATGACTTCCCATACAATCTGTCCTCATGTCAAATGATACCCGGCAATGTTATTGACTATTGTCAGAGGGTTTGGCCTGTGGGCACAGAATATTGTCAAAAGCTAATAGTACTTTACTATTAATACAATTATACTAATTATATTAATTATTATTATTATTACTAATTATATATTATTTATTAATACTATTAATAAAGGAATTAATAGCCATTATAGTAGTTAATTGGAACCAAGGCCCAGAACTGCTTTGTGCAAAAGGGCATATTTTGTCTGTGCGGGTGACTGAGTGAACACCGACCGTTTGGAACGACGATTCCCAGCAGGAGGCAGAGGATGAGCGTCGTCGCGGTGATGCCCTTGAATCGGCGGTCCGGCATCACCGTTTTCCCGCTGATGTGGTGCTCGTGGGCGGTCTAAAGAAAGAAACCACGTCAGGCCACACGCAATAACAGCTGCAAACTGTCGATCATAAATGCCTTTGCAACTATTTTTTTGAAAAGAAAGAAATTACCATATTAACTATTATATGCACATGGGCGATAAATGCTTTATCGTCCACGTGCGACACAGAGGAGACGACATCTGCCATAAGGGAGGGAAGGGAACGTACTTACACCTTGCTACACTGGCAAAATTTTGTCCATTACTCTCTCCTACCGTTACCGCACATATACTGCCCCTCCCGCCGCTCCCTCGCCTTATGCCCCCCATCTGCTCCCTCCCCTTACGCACCCCTTCCGCCCCCTCCCCTTACG